GTAAAAGTTATGCCTTCTTTCTTTGCGTGAACATTTGGGCGGCGTTATGCAAATCTTCCCACAGAGCGACGTAGGTATGTGGGGGCGTGTTAGAACGAGCCGTTTTAGGTAGGTGTGGCTGACTTTTATAAAGAATATCTCTTTGGATTTGAGACTTTAGTCTTTGCAACTTTACAGATCTTCTTTATGCACCAAGAGCTTGTAACACTCCAAAGAGAAAGGAAAAATTGAAATCGCATCATATGACCCCTTTAATAGTGTATTTTAACAGTGTTGTTCAATAAAACCATGTAATTAATTGGTTTTGATATTTTATTTGAGCCAATTATTATTGCCTCATCGTTAGTTTATATATAATTAGTCATACTTAAGCATGGTTTTCACTTAGGTTTATTTGTTACTAAAAATATCAGATTACTCAATTGTCAAAATAATCAGTAGATTACTTGATTACCAAAATAATCATTAGTTACAGCCCTAGATTAGTTAAAATATTTCAAAATACAACTGCATTGTTTTACTTTTTGTAATTAAAAGACAAATATTTTGTCATTGAAAATGTCTTAAAATAGTATTAAAATATAATAGTTGAACCAAGTGAACCACTTGGTACTTAGTGAACCAAGTATCTGTATTTTGTCTCATCTCGTGAGCATTGTCACACCCCTAGTGTCGATAAGCGGTGATATAGCTCATAATTTTCCAAGTGTATGATATAGCTTTCATTCTTCAGGTCAACCATATATTCATGAAAAAAAAATCAGTTTGAATAAGGAAAGCAATAACTTTGCCATAGTATCCTTTCAAATGTTAAAGTTGCCACAGTCTTTGCATGTGCTACACCCGCACATACGGGGTTTTTTGCTTTAACCCCTGTGGATATCTTCCTCATTTTTATTTTCTGATACAATTATATAAACATCCTTAAATCAAGATACATTTACTTGAGGTCCATTCCAAATGTAAATGTCTTGGAAAAAGTTAACAAAATTGAGTTTATGCTTAAAACAGGAACAAATATTTGTCACTGGGTATGAAACCTTTTTTTACAGTGTGATCAGAAGGTACCATAAAAGTTATTTCCATACTCTAGTACTCTATTTGGGAGCAGATGTATTCAAACTGTATTAAACTTTTTGTATTAAACTTTTTTTTTTTTTTTTTTTTTTGTAAAATGGATTAAAAAGTAATGGAGATCTTATGCTAAAATTGTGAAACCATTATTTAATTTTATGTATTACCCTTAGCAGGACAATCTTAGTGCCACCTTGTTGCTTCCTTGACCTAACAACCATAGAGGTGGAGAATACTATCCCTGTGAAAACTAAAATTTAAAAAGTTGATTAAAACCTCATATAAATGAAGACATGCTTATCAGAAGAAAAATGTTGGTGTTTTCTCAGACTAATAAGAAGATTTTTGTTTTACTGCATGTGAATAATAAAATACTGATGTAGTTTCTTTGTTTTGCAGCAAGACAAGCCGAGGGGCTTTGCACGGGGATTAGAGCCAGAGCGCATCATTGGAGCCACAGATTCCAGCGGCGAGCTCATGTTTCTAATGAAATGGTATGTAAAGATTAAGATTTGTGAAATGTGCACACTTCCAGAATAAAACATTTCCTGATAATTTACTCACTTCCATGTCATTCAAGATGTTCATGTCTTTCTTTCTTCAGTCGAAAAGAAATGAAGGTTTTTGAGGAAAGGATTTTTCTCCATATTCAATGGCGACCAACAGGCTGAAGGTCCAAATTGCAGTTTCAATGCAGCTTCAAAGACCTCTACAAGATCCCAGCCGAAGGTATAAGGGTCTTATCTAGCGAAACGATCTGTCTTTTTCTAAAAAATAAATAAATAAATAAAAATGTATATGCTTTTTAACCACAAATGCACTAGCTCTTCGATGCGCGTCAGCAACGTCACACATTACGTAATCATGTTGTAAAGGTCACGCGCTGTTAGCTCTTCGTCTGTGTACTCCTGTTCAAAAAGTTAGGGTAGGGTGAAAAACTCCATCTCATTTTCTCCTCCAACTTCAAAATCATCCGACATCGTTGTTTTACCTTTTTTTATTTTTGTAAAGGGCGTTTGACTTTGCACGTTCGCTTTGTAAACACTGGGTTGGTACTTCCGCCTACGTCATGCGTGATCTTTCCAACATGACTACGCAATGCATGAAGTCGAGCTTTGTGGTTAAAAAGTATAGAAATGTTTCTTTTTTTAAGAAAATGACCGATTGTTTAGCTTATTCCTCAGCTGGGATCATGTAGAGCCTTTTGAAGCTGCACTGAAACTGCAATTTGGACCTTCAGCCCGTTGGCCACCATTGAAATCCTAGAATATTTTCCTCAAAAAAACTTAATTTCTTTTTTACTGAAGAAAAACAGACATGAATCTTGAATGACATGGGGGTGAGTAAAGTATCAGGAAATTTTTATTCTGGAAGTGAACTAATCCTTTAAAAGTGAAGTGTGTAATATCTGCACCACTAGTGTCATGAAAATAATGAACATTCCCTAACATTGATCAGATCCTGAACTCATGCAATTTAGAAGCCAGAGTTGCTGTTTTAGATTAGGCTGGATGCTCACACAAACAAAGCAGGGTTTTGTTGCATTTTTAGCATAATTAAAGGGTTAGTTCACCCAAAAATGAAAATTCTGTCATTAATTACTCACCCTCGTGTTGTTCCAAACCCGTAAGACCTTCGTTCATCTTCGGAACACAATTTAAGATATTTTTGATGAAATCTGAGGGTTCTCTGACCCTCCCATATACAGCAAGGTAACTACCACGTTCAAGGTCAAGTAAACAAAAATAACAACTTTATTCCACATTTTCGTCTCTACTGCATCACTTGTAGACGCGAGTTCACGACAGTATCATGATGTGAGTGTGTGGCGGCGCTGACCCAGATCCGGCGTAATGACGTCATCACGCCGGATCCGGGTCAGCGCCGGCGCCGCCACACGCTCACATCATGATACTGTCGTAAACACGCAGTAGAGACGAAAATGTGGAATAAAGTCATTATTTTTGTTTTCTTTGCGCAAAAAAGTATTCGTGGTAGTTCACCCAAAAATTAAATTTTGCTGAAAGTTTACTCACCATCAGGCCTTCCAAGCAGTAGAAGAATTGTTCTTTATTGGAACAGATTTGAAGAAATTTAGCATTACATCACTTGCCAACAGGGGATATGGACTTTTTCCACTTGAGGAAACGTTATTATGGATTTTGGACTCCATAACAATTATGCTTCTAGTCAGTATTTTAGCCAGAAGCGGCGGTTTGAAGTCAAGATGCTTTGATGGATTTGTTTCTTACGAACACAAGCTTTTCACTTCACAAGACGTTAATTGATGGACTGGAGTCCATTTAGTTTTTGAATGAATTTTCATTTTGGAGTTAACTGTTCCTTTAATCATTCTCCCCCTCTGCCTATTCTCTACAGGAAAAACTCTGACGAGGCAGATCTTGTTCCAGCCAAAGAGGCCAATGTGAAGTGCCCGCAGGTGGTCATCTCATTCTATGAAGAGCGACTAACATGGCACTCTTACCCTTCTGAGGAAGAAGAGAAGAAGGATGATAAGAACTAGGCCTGTGAGGGAGAACGAGAGAGGTGGCAAGTCAGAGGCAGTGTTAGACTAGTTTGGGATGGGGTGGGGGGTATTTAGGATATGGGCAGTTCAAAGATGGGGAATCAGACACCCAAAAACTCTTTTACTCTCAATGCCATAAAACTTGGACTCAAAATATATTCTGAGCAAGATATGCAGACGTGGGGTCATCTTTAGTGGGCAAAAGTGAATGTTAGTCAGAATACTGACGACCGTAAGAAACACAGGATTACTGGATTTCCTCTTTGCTTCTCTTTCTGTTGGATTATGGGAAATGGGGTATATATATGCTGCAGTAGTCATTCCCAGCTAATAAAAAGGTGGCCAACGTTTGAAGAGGTATATACTAAATGCAATGGATCCTGTGTGCACATCCTCGTACCTTCTATATTTTTCTGATAAGAGATTTGAAAGTCATTTCAGTCTAAATCGGAACGTGTCACTGTGTAATGTGCTGCCCTAAGTTAAAACACAGTAAGTACACTTAAAACTGTAAAGAAAAACATGTACATTTTTGAGTGCATTGATTAATTTGATATCTGAGCATAGTTTGTTCAAATCTCAGTTTTGAGTGTGTGTAGTTACGGTGTTTTGTCTTTGTTAGGTGGTATGACCTAATTTCTTAAGCCGCCTTTTTCTTTTCCATCTCATTTGTCCAGATGTCATTTAAGTCATTTGTTGTGTAAATGCATTTGTCAAAGCTTTTGTCGCCTTATTAGTGAGCAAATTGCTGTGTATTGCAATCTTGCTGTTTTAGCAGCATTTCTCCATTTGTATTCACCATGTATACAGTATTCTCATCTTTTATTTGTTCACCATTTGAGGATATATATTGCGTATGGATATATTCACAAGGAGGTTTTTTTTTTTGGGGGGGGGATAATTATTTCTAGTGTTTAGTAAACTGCATTTCCCATAATCTCATATAAACCTTTTTTATTTTTAATTATTAGATTATGCATTACTGTGTGAAGAGGATATATGCTCTTTAGATTCCAGCTTCTCAGACTGATCTTTCAAGTTTTATAGGCTGATCAAGGTATGCCAGACCTGGCTAATAAATACTTCAGAAAACAGAGGAAAAGTTTGACACTTTGCTGTATTACCCTCTTCTTCGGCGGTGCTCAAGATGTAGAATGTACTACACCGCTTCAGGGCATCTTTTTATCATAAACATATGTAAATGTGTAGTGAAGGTGAAAAATCTTGCTAACATTACCATGCTATAGATCAGGTCTTTTAGTACCTCCGTTGCACCAGCATAAACTTGTTAGTACTGACAATTTGTTAAAATATCTTCAAAAAGTTTTTAAATTGATTAAAGTAGTGCTTGGATCACTGGATACTGTTTTTTTTTTTTTTGCAAAATATGATATTGATAGTGGCATATATACACTTCTGTCTACTAGAGGAGACTGAAGTACTATTGTACACAATCAGTAATGTGACTGCATGATTTTCCTTTCGATTGTCTTTTAAGTGTACTGTTCAAAGCATGTTATTTTCTTTCATTTTCACTTTTTCAATGGTTATTTGTTCATTAAAATAAACCTTTTTTATTAATCGTGTTTTATGATTAAAGTTATTTTACAAGAAATGAGGTTTAATTTTTATAGTAAGGTTCTGTGTTACAAAAAAGAAGCTGAAAATTGTAGACAATAAATATATTTTAATTGAAACAAGAACCAAGAACATAAATTCACTGCAAAATATTTAACACAAGGTACATAATTGAATATAAAAAAAGTTTACATTATTTACAAAGCATTTTAAAACATGAAATCAAATACAGAACTGGTATTTTAAACATTTCGTCAGTGAGTTACAGTAACGTAATCTCTAATAAGACACTCGTGCACAAAGACAAATCAAAACACGGTGGGTCAAAAATCCTTATTCTCACAACCCTGCTATTTAGTGAATGTAAATCCTGCTCAAAATTAAGCTCACATTATGAAGGTGTTCCCTATAATGAGATGGCAAACCAACACTTTTATTATACCAGTAAGCAGTAGTTAAAATGCATTAAACCTTTGTTTCAGTGCTTGGATTCCAAGCATAATTTACCATTTGCTGCTCTAACATGGGATTATTTTGGTTTTCTGATTTTGGGAACAATTTCAGTTACTCCTTATGTTCTTATAGCCCCATTTTGTTTTTAAAGTGGACATGACACAAGTTGTAATTGTCTTTTTTTTTTTTCGTATTGTGATGTATATCTGAGTGAAACGGCTTCTTTAATGAGAATTTTTCACCCTCTGTGAAATAAACAATGTGTTATTTGCTGCTGTGCCTTGTTTACATGTGAAATGTACAACAGCGTTGAGTGCTTTCCCCGGCTAGACCCTTACACAAACTGAGGTTTAGCTGTCCATTACAGTAGGTTTTTAGAGTACATCAACACCTTTAGCTTAAAAGTCAAGATATGGCCCTTTAATATCAAAACTTTGTGGAACCTAAAGTTCAGTCAAGTTGTATTATGTGCCTACATAGTATAATACATTATCAAGGATGATCACTTGGGTAAAAATACCCTACTTGGAGCAATTTCCCATTGAACTGTGGAAAACCAGCAGGTGGACTTCAGAGCACAGAGCATTTTTCCTGAGCCTTGTCATAGCATGAGTCCTCCATCTCACTTCTTGTGTTTTTGTCTCTTGCTAAGTTTGCGTCTGGAGTGTGAATCTGATCTGCGTTGTGATGTTACAGGTCTGGTGCTGTCTTGCTGCAAAGTAAAGTTGTTGTCCGAGTACAGCAGTCCCTGTTCCTCCCTTAGTCTCTCATAAACCTCTTGATACAAGCTATTAAGATGCTGCTTCATCTCCCTGATGGAGCGCAAGATCTCAGACTTTTCCCTGAGCAGTTTGGCCCGGAGGCGTTGCAGGCTATCCACACTACCCCCTAATCCCAGCAGGACATCTAGCTTCCTTCGACGACAGTTCTGAGCAGCCATTTTGTTTTTACCCCTGCGGCGAATGTCTCTGATAAGTGTAAGCTGAGTCTCATTGAGATGATATTTGGCTAGCAAGCGATTGAACTCATCGACGGGTAAGTTTATGATGTGTTCATTGGAGAACGGGAGATTCAGCAAACGTGCATGTTTCTCATCTCGGCAGGACAGATGCTCCAGCACCTTGTTTTTCAGCGACTCATCGGAAAGATCTTTTGGAGGTTTCTTCCGGCTTTGAGGTTGGTTGTAGGTATGATCATGTCCGATGTGCTCGAGCCAAGGAAGGCGATGGAACTGTCTGGCTTCCAAAAAGCTTGATTGACACATCTTGCTTTGTTCTGGCATGTACTCACCCACAGCTTCATCCTCTTCTTTGATATTGGTGTAGCCCACAGCACCTTCCTCAGGCATCAAACTAGGGGTTGGGCTGGACAGTGAAGAAGAGCATGAAGAAGATGATGAGGAACTGGAAGATTCAGATCCACTAGGAGAGGCAGGGCTTTGACTGCAGTACAAGGATAAACCAGAGTCAGAATCTGCTGGGTTTTGCTCTTCAGACTGTGCCTGGCTAAGTTCTACCAGGGCCAAATCCATTAGATCAATCTCATCAAGCATGGCTTCCTCCAGCAGAGGATCTATAGGGCTTGGCAGGCTAGTGCCAGCAGTGAGAAGGAGGTCTATGATATCCGAGTCTTCAAAAGCTTCTGCATTAGTTGAATTGTCCAAATTGATGTTTGGCATGGAGTGGTTGTCAATGCAACACGTCTCTTCCATGGTGACGCTGTTTTGTGCTTCAGTGGATCTTGGCAGAGTGGCTTGGTGAAGGCTAACATCCTGGTGAATAAAGTTTTCCATTGATCCAGTATTTCTGTCTGAATCACTGATATTGAAGGAAGAATCGCCTATTGTTTCGGCTGTATCCATGTCCTGTAAAGATAAGAGGAGTCAAATAAAGTTCTCTGACTGCCAGGTCAAAAAACATAAAACATGTGACCTGCTCCATATTTGACCAAGAAACACATTTTGAGTAGTCAATGAAAAAGTGTGTCTTTAATGATGTTTTTACTCCAAACCGCTTTGAAGAATAATCATTTAAATGGTGGCTGGCTAATTTATTCATATATTGCCTAAATCTATCTATATATTTACGACCTTCTCTCTCTCTATTTTTTTTCAAGCCAACTAACGAGCTGTGAACACTTGACACCTTTTCTTTGGTAAATAAGACGTCATGTGACATGTTGTTCACCAGCGGGTTTGTTGAGGTCTTTTCTGTGGTTAAAACACTAATTGGTCGATTACTTAAGAGACAATACATTTCAATAAGTTGTAGTGTTTATTTCAACATATCTTCTAATGTTATTTTGTGCGATTACAAGTAGTAAAGAGTAAGAGGATTGTTTTGTGCACTCCGTGTTGCTGTTTGAACTGAGCTACAGCGATCTTTCACGTCATATTAAAGAGCGTCTAAACGGCATTGAAGTTTTGAATTTTGTTGTAAAATAGGGTGCATGTCGAGCGTCACCTGACCAAACCGGAAAACGCATCCGCTTGTCGGAGAAAGTGTTAACAGCAGCATGAACTGATGGCGATATCTATGGACTTTTAAGGTAATCAGTTAACCTAGCTATTTGTTGTTATCGTTGCCGTTTTTTTTATTTTAATATCTGAATGTTATTAAAAAGGATAAAAATTTAAAAAACCTTTAGATATCAATCTGCATATGTGATGGATATATGATCATCTTTGGTATCTCCTTTGAAGGCATCTTGAGTAAAACAGCTCCATATTCAACAGAGCACAGACAAAACACTAGAACCAGAAGCACCGAGACCTGTTTTACGAAATATGGAAGTCTGTTGAACATAACCCTCATTGACATAACTTGAAAACCGTATAATATAAAAAAATATAACATTACAGTTAAAATTCTTTTTTTCCCCCTTATAATCTTCATGTTTCTCCACAAACGTCTATGACTCAAAATGATAGAGCACGTCAAATATGTTCATTAACTTTTCAAAGCACTGATTAACTTGTAATTCGGGACTTGACAGGAAGGTGTTGGTCATTTCATACCTGTGATTCCATGATGGCCAAAACATCTTGCCATTGTTGCTCTAATGCTGTGGGTTCCTGTTCAGGCAACAAGGGTGACATGAGTGGCCTCTGAAACTCTGAAAGTGCATGTTCTCCTACATTCTGTACATCAGGACCTGCCAACTGAGAAAATTAAGATTTATAATGTAGTTTGGAAAGCCTACATTTCCTTTTTTTGTCTCTCTCCTCCTCTAAAACAATTCTTGCTGCACACATTGTTGTAAAAAGATGAAATGTTGCATTCTAGATCAAGTTTTTACCTCTGGATCTCCTTCTGAGGGGAAGTTGGCATTGATGAGATGCAAGCACTCTTCAATGGAAAGAGAAGTGTGGTCCCTTGCACTTGACAACTGAAAGAGGAGCAAGTGAGTATGAGGAAATAGTTTAGTAAAACTTGTATCACTCTATTTATTATCTGTCAAGGTCAAACTATGATGGCAGTGCTGCACTGCTTTGGAATGTGGAACGTCTTCATCAAGGTCAGCAGTAACAAGGTCAATAGCAAGGAATTCAGTTCCAAAATACTTTTACACAATATGTTCATTCAATTTTGAGTGTATTCTGTGTCTTATTCACAGGATTTCAGTACTTTAGCTCAATGTACTTCTCGGAAAGTCAAAAAATCTAATGGAAATGACAAATACTAAAATAAGATTTAATAGAACATAATGTGAAACAATTTAAGAAATAGAAATGTAGATATTGGAGCTAATTGTATAAATACATCTAAATATTCAATATTTGGTGCCTTATTGTGAGTATGTTCACTGTCATACCTGTAGATCCTCTCCAAACATTTGGTTTTGAAATGGATTTGTATTTCTCCAGCTATCCACCATAAACTCATCCTCCTCCTCTTCTTCCTCATTAAACAAGCTGAGAGGTTGGGTTCTTGCATTTTCCAGCTGCTCCTGGTGGACATTTTGAGGTTCCTGCTCCCAGAAGAAAGACATGCCATCTCCCTCCTGCAAATGCAAAAGTAAGGATCATGTCTAGGATCTCAGGAAGTACATTCTCTTATGGATAGGAAGTGGCGGTCTCAGGTAAGTCAGGATAGTCTATTGCTGCCTTCACGTGATTTTGGAAACTTCCCACGTATGAAGTTGTAATTACGAGTTTGTTGCATTCAAGTGCTCTGAAAGAACAGGGATCCTGGTGGACGGCCCATTCATGAATTCATTATTGCCCGTTTCTTGGGGAAATCTTATTAAAGCCAAACAATATAGAAGATATTAAGTTAATATCCATCAGGTTTTGAATAAAATGTAGTGTTCCATTCATTGGTAACATTCACTGTGATAAGATATTAAGCTGGCTGATGATAACTACATTTCGGTCAAATAAATGCTATTTTCACTGTGTTTGATACATATAAGCAAGCAATGTAGATCTTGTGGCAAAAATGAATACAACTTTACAGTACTACTGTTTACTGTTTCTTTCCTCAGTCATGTTTCAACTTTATGGCCCGTCCAACTCTCAGA